CGGTGGGGGGGGGGGTGGTGGTGGTACATGGTGAGACCCCAGAGGCAGGACACCTTTTTCCGTTCCCTGGAAACGAAGGGTCCTGAGGTTTCAACTGGCAGTATTTGGACGAACCCCTAGTTTCCTGAGCCTGCGCCTTCCTATCAAGATGCGTTCAATGCTGTTTGATCCTTAAAACTCGCGTCCCTTGGCCCCGCAGCACGCCCCTGCCAAGCCCTGTGCGGGCACAGCGGGGTGGTAAATGGCCCCGCTGCGGGTTCCTGCCTTTTCCTCCTGGACAGGACTCCCAACACCCGAGGTTCCCGAACGCGCCTTAGAGCGGCGCGCGCCTGTGCGTAAAGGCCACCGGCGGCTTCTGGTCGCCAGAACAAAAAGTCCTCCCGCTGCTCGCAGAGGCGTCGCCCCTCCCCTCCTTGCGCTGGGTTTCGGCCCCAGCCCCAGCCTAGGCCCCAGGGCTTCTGGGGCACCGCCCGGGCTGGACTCGAACTGTCGCTCGCTGGGGGAGAGTCCGCTACTCTCCAGCCTCTGTCTCTGCAACCAGCCCACTCCCAGGGCGCCCTTTTCCGCTGACCCCCAGCCCTGACTCTGAGGCCCAGGTGCCACCCCACCCTCACCTTCCCACTGTCCTTGGGAAACAGACCCGCGGGGCGGCAGGGACGGGCCCTGGCTCCCCAGAGCACCTGGCCACACCGAGCTGAGCGCAGAGCCTAGATGTAATCCGAGTTTGTAACTCCTCCACTGCTCATCCTCCCACACCGTGCATTCTTAGGAAAACCCCGAAAAAACACCCCCCCAACCCCCCCTGCCAAAGGCCACCTTACAAACTCCTGGGTCTTCACGGATTTAGCGTCTCACTACCTCCCCTTTCAATCCTCACCCCCCTCCCTGGGATCGGAGGTCTCGGAAGGGATAAGTACTATCCGGGGGAGGGGAGGCACGCGACATCCCCGCATTTATTTGAGCTCAAACCCAGCGACTGTTGACTTTAGCACACAAAGCAAAGATTTCACTGCCCGCTAGTTTAAAAATGAATATTTTACCAAGATATCGATCAGCGTTATAAAATTCAGTTAAGTACAATGGGATCCTGGAAAAAAAAAAGAATAATAAAGGCGGGGGGAGGCAATATAATATCTGTGCAAATTTGCTGAAGTCTGACGTGGCATGGGAAGTTTACCCTCCTGGAATTCGGATCTAGAGTGTTTTTTTCGGTTGTTTACTGACTGTGTTTATTCACAGATCACGGTTGCTTAAATCGGCGTGTTCAGTGCGGGGCGGGTCGCGGGGGGGGGAGAAAAAAAGAGAGGAGGGGGGAGGAAAAAAGAATCGCTGCACCCTGCAATCTTTAGAGTTGGGGGAAGCCAGGCGGAGGGCGAGCCGTGAGCTAGTGAGCTGGGAACCTGGCCTGGGGGAAGGAGGCGGTGGCCGGAGGGTGGGGTGTGAAAGGAAGGAGAAGCGCTGAAACCCCCGAAAGCGCCCACTCCCCGACGTCCTTTTTATGTATTCGGACAGAACTCTATCTCCTCAGCCGGGATCAGTGGAGGGGGTGGGGGGAGGGAGGGTGCGCTCTAAGTAGTTTAAAACGACCCTCGCACAATGGGCGTGCGATAGGAAACATAGCAGGTTAGGGCAGCGCTTTCAGCCCCCATTGTCCCCCACTCGGCCTCCCGCTCGGCCTCTCCGCTCCTTCGCCACAGGAGCCTTTTATGTGATAATGAAACACATTTCAGGCCGGGCTCGCGACGTGTGTGTCCTGGCCAGGGGGAGAGACAGCCCTGATAACTGGATTCTGCCTCCGGATACCACTGCTACCCCGCCCCAGTTGCTCTTCCCTGTGCTGCTCGGGACAATGAGGCACGTTAAAAACTAGGATTTAGAGGCGGGAGAGGGTGGAGGAGGCGAGGGCAACCCCCTCAGCGCGTGGGAAGGCCAGGGTTGGAGGTGACAGAGACTCTAGGTGGCAGAGGGTGCACGGAGAGGCAGTCCCTAAGGTTGGGACGAAGCTGGGACACTCCAGGTTTGGCTGGTCAGGAAGCCCTAAGATTAGTCCCTGAAAAAGGATCTAGGGGTTTAGAAACCCAAAGAAAGAGTCCTGGGCTTGGAAACCTGCGTTTCTTACCCACAGCTGGCTAAGCTGTGCTCCGGCTGGCCCCCAGTCTGAGGGGCCCTCAAAGACACTGGCTCCTGACCTCCCCGGGCCAGCTCACAAGCCAGTAGGTGCCCTGGGAAAAGCCAAGTGGGGGTGGGAGCGGCTTTGTGCTTCACCTCCAGGGTACCCACTGTGATTGGCCACTGATTTAGGGTGTCTGTGGGAAGAGATAGCGGGATTGTAAGAATTTATTCTGGGTATTTCTTTATTAAGTTTGGATTTTTCCTTTTAGGCTCACAAAAACCCTCAGCCCCTCCACCGGGCCATCTTGGCTTGCCAAACCCCGATAACTGTGCTGTGCTGGGGTGTTCGGAGGAAGACCCTGCAGGCTCGGATCTCTCCACCCGCCACTGTCACTTGGCAAGCCCCGCAAGACACCCCCTATCCCCGCCTCACTCTAAATATACCTGATTTTATTTTTTTAAAACCCGCACCCAGGTTATGTTTTTATTGATTTTAGAGCGAGAGGAGGAGAGGAACATCAGTGTGAAAGAGAAACACCCATCAGTTGCTTCCTATTCACACCCTGACTGGTGATCGAACCTGCAGCCTACGTATGTACCCTGACTGGGAATGGAACCTGCAACCTTTTGGATGTCCTGGATGCTCCAACCAACTGAGCCACCCAGCCAGGGCCAAATATACCTTATTTTTAAAAGCAGGTTTGGAACATCACACTGAGCATTCCCTTCATAACCAATTCCAGGAGAAAGTCGCCTGTGTCTCCAGACCCCTCACTAGTCCAGGCTTCAGCTAGGAATACCAAAGTTGTGCAGAACGCCTACGTGAAGGAGGAGGCTGGGGTAGGGAGGTGGAATGTAGACAGAGTCCCAATTCCACAGGAAGGTAAAGAGATGCAGCGATGGAAAGGGCAACTACTGCACCAGGAATTTGCAAATTCAACCCAGGCTCACTTACTTAAAGGGTCGAGGGAGCTAATATAGGAAATACAGCAAAACATGTCAAATCCAGGCTTCTTCTCAGAGAAGCCTGCACTAGAGCCGAAGGGATGTCAGCAACATTGAACCTTCACATGGCTCAGGTGGAAAAAATCAAGACATGTAGGTTGCTCCGGGCTTGAAAGATAAACCTGCATCCAACCCATGGAAATGCTGACCTGGGATCTGTGTTTCATGGTGTGTAAAGATAAACTGAAAACTCCAAAAGTGACCATAAACAATATTGTGTTCTATTTAATGGTGTGCTTGTTGAAGTGTTTAGGGGAAATGCACTAATGTCTGAAATTTACTTTGAAATGCCCCTAAAATATAAGCCAAATTGACCAATGGCATTTAGATCAGTGGACAGATATGCAATATAACAAGAACAGTGAAATAATTGTAAAATCTGGGCAATGGGTACATGTGTACTTTCTGTAAAATCCATTCAAATTCAGCATGTCTGAAAATTGTAATAAAATGTTGGTAAAGCAACAACCCCTCCTCCTCCAATAATATAGAATCTGCAATCAGCCAGGCTCTCCCTCCCTCCACTTTGAAATAATTTCCAGACCTGATTATTTGTTAAGCCAGGCAAAGAAAAAAAAATCTTGATAATTCAAGGAATAAAACCGGCAATAACACTTTAATATAGATTTGTGAGACTCTGGTCCTTGCAGCCAGAACACATATTTATAAGCCATAAATAAAGCACTCAGAAAGCATAAATTAATCAGACCCGAGACCTGGATTTCACTGTTTCAAGAACAGGAATGCATTTTTCCCCCCTTGGTCATTAACAACAGACCCTTACATCATTTTTTATCTCTTTTTTAAACAATAGCACGACTCTCTGGTTCTTTGTTAAAACTACATTGTTTTACACTGAGTCACAAAAAGTTTGTGGGATTTTTTTTGTTTTGTTTTGTTTTTTTATAGAGGGTTTTTTGTGTGGGTTTGTTTGTTTTTTTAAATAAAGTAAGACTTCCCTGAAACAGCAGCAATGGAGGAGAGTGATAACAAAAGTCAGAATTCTAGGATGCTTCCAGAAGCAGGCATCTACATAGTAGTGGAAACCGGGGAGCTTTTTTCGGTCTGTCTTTTTTGACTTTATCTTTTTGTCCCCTTTCCCTCCTTATATAGAATGAATGATACATATCAGTGTGGCCCATCTGGGAGGGAAGAGCTGCTGAGGGTGAGGGGAGACTGCTGTCCTGGGGGTGGGAGTGTCTTGGATGTCTTCTCCCTTGCATCTCTCCAACACCCCTACCTCAAAGTCTCTCCACCCCCCCTCCACTTCTCTCTTGTCTGGGCTAGCCAGGCCGAAGCCTTCTTAAGAGGAGTTCATAATGGGCCGGGAGTACACCCCCTGGTAATAGGAGGTGTCCGCGGCCAGGGGTGAGGCTTCCAGGCCCGCTTTGTTCGTGATTGGGCCCATGGCCAGGCTTCCCGGCATGGGGGAACCATAGCCCGGGTAGTGCATCACCTGTTCATAGGCCTTGAGGTCCATTTTGTGGGGCTGGTGGTGGTGGTGGCTGTGATGGTGCTGCTGCTCCGAGGACATGAGGTTGTTGATGGAGAAGGGGTGGTTGAAGGCGTAGTGGTGCTCGGGCTTCAGGTGGGCCTCGGGCGGCAGCCCCGGGTGGTGGGGAGGGCCCAGCAGGTGCACCGCGGCCTGCTGCTGCTGCCCCGGCGCAGGCTC